TGTGATTCTTTGGTGGCAGTATTATATGAGGAGAGGGACTTGCAAATTTGGCACTTGTAACCATCCCTGTTAAAAGTTGGTGAAAATATTATAGTATTAAACCCATAAAAGATAGTGCAACATGTTTCTTTGTCAGTTGTTGACTAATAAGTGGTGTAGGCATGTTCAAAGGATATTGTGGGGCTCGAGGGCAACTTGCCTCCTTGGTTCTCACGCAGCTAGTGGAGATATCACATGCATCCAGCTCCATTCCTTTTACTGGTTATTAAAAGGGCAGAAGCTCGGCCATTTTAGGTGGGGAGATGCAAAGGTTGATACACGGGTGTGAGAGGAAGAACAGAGAGTGATCTTTGTGGGTGAGAGAGAAGGGCTCTTAAAAATACTGTGAGTGGTGTACAAGGGTAGCTGGGTTTTGGGTTATGTTGATTTAACTCAAACGGATCTTGTACTGGTGTTATTCTCATAGTGAAGAAATCATCTCTCCGGGGACGTAGGCAAGAGTTTGCTGAACCTCGTTCAATCTCTTGTGCACTATTTTTATTCCTTGTTTACATTATTTGTTCATAAATCCATTGAAAACAAGGTCTTGGAGTGTTTAATTGTACAACAGAAATACCCGTCATACTTGGCTTAGTACGTTCAATGTTATGGGTCCTCTGCATAGGCACCTTAAGTATCATTATCACTAATTTTCTACAAAGAAATAAAAACCTACCAGACATGAACCGATCACAGAAGTGTCATAAACGCTTGCCGAGCATTCACAACCAACATAAATATGTATCACTAGCTACTCAAACTCAGGGTTCGTGAATTAAATCAAATGCATGCATAAATGCCCATGTCATACTTGGTTGAATACATTCAATGTTCTGGGTCCCTTAGGCACCTTCAGTATCAATATCGCTAATTTTCAACCAAGAAAAAACCTAACAGACATGAACCGATTACATAAATGTCACAAAAGCTTCCCAAACATTCAAAAACAACGCCAAAAGGTATCACTACATACTCAAACGCAAGGTCCGTGAATTAAATCAAACTCCCTCATAAATGCATGTGTCATACTTGGCTGAGTACCTTCACTGTTTTGCGCCCTCTGAGTGGGTTGCATATTCTCAGCAACTGGAGCACCAATGTCTGCGTCAGGACATGAACTGCAACATCGAAACAAAAATGCATAAATAATGACAAATCGTTAAAAGGAAATATATTCAATTAATATATACGACATCTTCTTCTATCCTGCACTCAGTGCATCGACGTTTATGTCGTCTCGCTGCCTTCTCATATTGTCCTTTAACTCTTTTTGTACTCTGAACTTTTGATGTATGGCAAATGAAACCTTGAACACAGATTCTTTCTAGCATAGTTTATTCTTAATATGTGAAAACCATTTTGAACTTGTGATGTATGGCAAATCAACTAGTTAACACAGCTTGTTGCTAGCATAGTTTATTCTTAATCTGTGAAAGAGTTCTAAACTACTGATTGCATTCCTATTAATCGGTTGTCCTAATCAACAATACTATAGTTTCTTCGTAATCTGTTTTTTCTGGTCAATCTTAGTATGTACAAACACCGTTCTGCCCCACATAGGAAGCCTTTGTGAGTCTCTAGTGAAACAATAAAACAACCAACATCCAAAGTAGCGTAACTATTCAACCAAAAGAAAAGTTGCGTAACTAATGGCCATATACTTGGTCAAACATTTTCCTCGAATACTCAATTTCACAAATACAGGATATCTCTTACCTTAGAATTCGGAGCTTCCAAATTTGTAGAAATATGACAATGGAGCAGCAACAGAGCTCGACTTCAACCCCAAATATTTCCACCTTCCTCAAATATGACAATGAAGCAACAACAAAGCTTGTACAAATGTGGATTCCAACTCAAAGATTTTAAAACCAACAGTATAGAACCAAAGCCAAGTGCTCACTTTGTGGTCTCCAATCGTCAAGTAATGAACTCAAGGCTTCACAAGTGCACAGAACAGAATCATCAAACCAACAAAATGAAAACACAAAAAGAATTACATTGCATGTGCTCATCGGGATAATACCTTGCTTTGTATGTTTTGAATCACCAAACCAGAAAACTGAACAGCTCTCTTTTTGATGAAAAAATGGTGGCAAAGTGTGCAACCACTCCGAGCCGGGGAGGGGTTAAGGTTAAAGCTCTCCCCATGGGATTTGAACAGCTCTCTTTCCTCAAACAGAATAGCAAACCAGAAAAAAGAAGAAAACCATGTTCTTCGACAGACAGACAGACACAGAGAAAGACAGAGAAACAGAACTTTTTTTGGAGGGAGATATTGTGGTCTTCAAGAGCACAGTGCGTCTGTTTTGGAGGGAGGAAGCCACATTCCAGTGAAATCGTTTTACACACTTTGAGTTACAATTGCTTCTTATCATCCGTTAGATTTGATCCAACGGTGTTCCCATATAGAGGTTTGCAAAATGATGTTCCCACTAGAGAATAGCCCAATACTAATATCCTAACCCTATCTATCTAATCCCGTCCATCATCAACGTTAGTCCCCCTTTATTTCTTTCCGTTTCCACCTCTTTTCCTCTGAGTTTTTTTGTTTTGGCACTTGGGGTAGTCATCATCACAAGAGAGATGTGAGAGCCCACCCTGAAAAAACTGTGGTTTTGGAGCTCTAAGCTCTTTTTCCTCCCATTTCTTCTTTGTTTTCTTTTCTCTCTTATTCTTTCTCTTTTCTTTTTTCTTCCTCTCTTTCTTTGATTTTTTTTCTTGGTTCTATGTTTCTCTCTCTCCCTCTATGTCTCTTTCTTTGCAGATCTGGGTTTTTTAATATCTTGGGTTAAGTTCTTGAATTTGATTTTTTTATTGTTCGAATATGGAATCTGATTTTTCATGCAAATTTAAAGTTCAGTTGAGGTTCAGATCTGTTTTGCTAAATAGGTTTTTTTTCGTTTTTTCTTTTTTATCTGTTAAGGTTCATAACTTCAGATCTGGTTTTTCTGGTATGGACTCGTTGATTTGTTCCAGTGATGTTTGTAAAAATATCAATTAGGCCAAAGAGTCGCTCCAAACCGTGAAAAACCAAAATCGAACCGGACATAAACAGGTCCGGGTTGGTCCGATTTTCTTTGGTATTTGAATTAAAATTCGAACAGAACCGGATCAGATGAATAGTTCGATTCCAGTTCCAATTTTGCCTGAGAACCGGTCCAAACCGGACCATGCCCAAAGTATACTGTATATGCAAAGTTCTCCTACCCTATAATAAGATTTGCGGTGAGGGGCAGAAAAATAAATGAAAAAATCGAAGGGTCCAGCGAGAAAGGATGGAAAGTTATATAGGAGATTCTAATTTAATTGATTGCCTACGTGGCATTTCGTCAACCGTTGGATTCTTTCATAGATTGCATAACCAGATACCATTTCCAACTGGGCCGAATATTATCGGGGTTCTATGCCGATTCAATTGCCATGCAGCGGAGAACTGTGGCAGAATCAGTAATTTGAGAGACTTTCGAGCTTCTTTTCCTAACCCCCTTCTTAAAAAAAGGGACTTTCTGCTTCTTTGTCTAGCGTTTTTGTTAGGATGTCTATCTTTCTTTGGCTGATATTTGTTTTCGTTTGTTGTTTCTTCTTGTCTTATGCTCGAATTTGAGACCTCCTTCAATTAAATGAGGACAAATATCAGTAGATTAAAAGCTAATTAGTATAGCAATTAGGTCTATTTAATGTTAGGGAATTTTTCGGTATCTTATGTCTCAGGGTTTTTCTTTAGAGCTTAAAGCATTGTACTTTCTATGTTAAATAGACCTTTGCAAGAATTAGCATTTTCACCATGTAGCATCTTGGAAATATGTAGTTTATTTTGTTTCTTTCCAGAAGAAAAATACAGAATAAGAATCTGAATTTTGCATATGTGGTGGGTTAGGACAGTTAGGACAGTTGGACCTTTGCTCCGTTCGATGAGATCATCGAATCGAAGGGCCATTTGACCTCTACTACTTGATCTTCTGTTTCTCTATGTTACTTGATCTTTCTTTCCCAAAGATTGAAGATCGATCGATTCTTTTTCATTTTTGTTTATTATTGTGTATTTGTTTGATTATACTCCAGTGTTTTGGTTTTGACGGACGGATCTGATTTGATTTGGTTTTTTGTGTGTGTTTCCAAATCATCAACGACCGTGAGACCCATCCCGCAAATATGCTCAACTTGTGATCTGAAATTAAGAAGTTACCACTCTTTTTCTTGAGGCCGAATAAAAAAAGTTACCACCAATTGGGAGGTTGCTTGGCAAATATTATTGTTTACTTATCAAGTTGATTCGTGGAAGCATAGCAACAAATAAAAAACTTGAGAAAAACAATATAAACAAGAGAATGTGCTTTATATTAATATAAAGGTAGCAACACAATATGTTTATTGATGACGTTTTTATGTACCTAATATATATATATATATAGAATGCTCTAATATACCTGGTTACTAGGTAAATATAAGATTATATACCTAATTACTAGGTAAATGTGAGATTATGTACATAACTTACTAGGTAAATATAGGATTGTACCTCATTATTGGGGGAAGTATGAGATAATACATAATCTACTTGACATATAGGTATCTTGTTATTTTCAATATACCTTTTTTTTTTGTTTCTTCAATTTGCCTAATAAAGAGGTCGTAAACAATAAGAAAGAGAACCAACCATTTTTTTGGGATAAAAGAAGAAAAAATTGAATGGAAGTACTCAATAACTAAGCATCTTTATCAAATGATTTGGCAGGGATTGCTAAACCCTTTAACAAGGACAGAAATACTGTGTCAAGTACTGGTTGCCGCTGGTTTTGGTTCAAAGCAAGGTGCAAGGCGAAGGGATGCCCATAGCTAGGTCTTCTAATTTAACTCCCATAGTTGCAATTGATTTTTCTAAGCTCCATTTCCTCCCTAGTAAATGTATTTAATTATCAACACATCTGTATATTCTGCAAGTGTGCTATAGATGCCCAAATAATATATGTGTTCATCACCCAAAACCTTGAGCATTCAAAGCCTTATTGGCAGTAGTCATTTGAGATTTGTCATTACCCCGAATAATCTGTTTCTACCTTGAGGCAGAGCCCCAATTGGATAGATTCATTTTCCATACTTAAGGACCAAAATCAGAAATTTTAGGTTTTACATATAACATGTAGTAATTGAATGTTAAAGGAAATAGTTTCTTCAGTTTTGTTTGTTGGCATTATCGTGCATTCCTAAATAACATCTGTTAAGCATATGCTTATTTGTCTCCGCTTGTCTCTGGAATTATTTGCTTTAATGACTATACATGCGCATGAGCCTTTATTTACTTTCTTATGGAGGTTTTATTTATGTTCTACAATTAATAAGCTTTATCTGTTGTTGCATAAACCTATCTATAAATGTGAATTTTGGTTTTTCAAATTGAATCTTCTGTTATCTAGGAAATGAGCCTTATGGTGAAGTACCGTTTACGTCCTGGTACTTTGAAGGGTGAATTGTTTAGAGTTCTGCTAGAGCAAGGAATTCATGGGTTGAAAGTTTCTGAGTTGGCGAAGTCTCATTGCAAGTCATTTGGGTACATATATGTCACGGCAGTTTTCTAGAGGCTCATATGTTTGGAGATAAGGTCATTGTTACCACCAAGCACAATGATGATGAGCAGTATATGTGGGAGCCGCTCCGATTCAATGTTTATGGTATGTTGAGTGATGAAGGATCAATTAATTATGCAAATAAAATGATGTAATTGATTTTGAGTGGTTTGAAGTTGTACACTTTCATCGTACCGATTATGCAAATGAAATGATGTAGTTGTTAACTTCCAATAAGTGGTATGAACAGTATAACAACTGTTCACACCCTGCAGCTGAGTTGATTTATATGACATAGTATTAACAGTGTACTTCTATGACATAGTATTAACAGATTTTCAGTAACATAGCGTGCTCTATATTTTGCTCTATATATAGCTGTGCACTTGAAGTTTATGATATGCAGAATGTGATTTTTACTAGGAAGATAGTTCTATGACATAGTATTAACAGTGTACTTTTTTTTTTCTTGTAGAGGTATTTTCTTTTGCCTTTACGATTGTATCTAGTAAAACTGTAGACAATTGGAGGTGGTTTCTGCAATCAAATGTCTTGCTGGGCTTTTTTGGGTTTTTTTTATGTGAAATTGTATTAACAACGTTTTTGATATGAAATGGTATTAACAATGGTTTTTTGTATGAAATGGTATTAATAATGGTTTTTTGTATGAAATTGTATTAACAATGTCTTTTTGTATGAAATGGTATTAACAATGGTTTTTTGTATCAAATGGTATTAACAATGGTTTTTGTATGAAATTGTATTAACAATGTCTTTTTGTATGAAATGGTATTAACAATGTATTTTTTTGGGTATGAAATGGTATTAACAATGTTTTTTTTGGTATGAAATGGTATTAACAATGTTTTTCTATGAAACGGTATTAACAATGTTTTTCTATGAAATTGTATTAATAATGTACTTCTATGACATGGTTTGCAGAGGTTCGATGGAGAAGGAAGGGTTGTGGGGCATGCCCTTGGTTTTTGTGTTTTTATTTTATTTTATATTTATACTTAAGTTTGGGTTTTTTAAAAAAATATGAGCTGGGCTTGTTTTGGGTTTTTTTGTGTTTTTTGTATTGGGCTTCTTTTGAGTTAGTTAGTGGCAGTCATGTAATTTATAGGAAATTCAACACTTATTTTGTATGTAGTAAATGGTTTTTGGGTATGTTTCTAAAGTGCATTTTATGTAGGGTTTTTTTATAATTTCAACCCCTATTTTGGGTATATTACTAAAGCTCCCTAAGAAAAACAAACTATGAATTTGCAATTAGTTTATTTTTCTCTTTAATTTTTTAACAAATATTATCCGTACAGTTTTCTTGCATTCGAAGCAAACTACATTATATCTATCAAAGATAAACACTGATAGCGCGCCCTCCATGTTTGTCTCAACTCTCAACCATCCCGCAAATATGCTCAACTTCTGAT